GGAGTATGGGCGTGGGCTCAACGGACCTCTCCTCCGTGTCATACCGCCGGGACAGAGCATCTGCCTTACCATTCTGGGACCCAGGGATGTACGTGATCTTAAAAACGAACCGGGCCAGAAACATATTCCACCTAGCCTGGCGAGGGTTCAGTCTCCTAGCTGCCCGGATGTACTCCAGGTTTCGGTGGTCTGTCAAAATGAGGAAAGGGTGTTGAGCCCCCTCTAGCCAATGCCTCCACACCTTTAGGGCCTCCCCCATGTCATAATTTCGCTCCGCCGGACTGAGCTTTTTAGAGTAAAAAGCACAGGGGCGGAGTTTCAGGGGCGTGCCAGATCGTTGCGAGAGCACGGCCCCTATACCGGCTTCAGACGCGTCTACCTCGACCTGGAATGGGAGTGCGGGATCCGGATGCGCCAACACCGGCGCCGAGGTAAACAGGTCCTTCAGTCTCCCAAAAGCCCTATCCGCCTCAGCAGACCACTGCAAGCGCACCGGACCTCCCTTTAGTAGAGACGTTATGGGAGCTGCCACCTGTCCAAAACCCCGGATAAACCTCCTGTAGTAATTCGCAAAACCCAAGAACCGCTGCACCTCTTTAACAGTAGTTGGAGTTTGCCAAATACGCACGGCCGACACACGGTCAACCTCCATCTTAACCCCTGACGCAGACAACTGATAACCCAAAAAGGAGACAGACTCCTGGAAAAACAGACATTTCTCTGCCTTGACATACAGATCATGCTCCAACAATCTCCTCAATACTCGGCGCACCAGGGCTACATGCTCGGCTCGGGTAGAAGAATACACTAGAATGTCGTCAATGTACACGACCACTCCCTGCCCCTGCATATCCCGGAAGATCTCATCAACGAAGGATTGGAAGACTGAAGGAGCATTCATTAACCCGTATGGCATGACGAGATACTCGTAATGACCCGAGGTGGTACTAAATGCTGTCTTCCATTCGTCTCCCTCCCTAATACGCACCAAGTTGTATGCGCTCCTGAGATCCAATTTTGTGAAGAAACGCGCCCCGTGTAAAGACTCCGTCATAGTCGCAATCAGAGGGAGTGGATAACTGTATTTCACAGTAATCTGATTGAGACTGCGGTAATCAATACACGGGCGCAAACCTCCATCCTTTTTCTTCACAAAAAAGAAACTCGAGGACGCAGGGGAAGTGGAGTGCCGTATGTATCCCTGTCTCAGAGACTCGGCTATGTAAGTCTCCATAGCTCTCTTCTCCTCTTGAGACAGAGGATACACATGGCTCCGCGGAAGCGCAGCTCCTACCTGGAGGTCTATCGCACAATCCCCCTGTCTATGTGGTGGCAATTGCGTCGCCTTCGCTTTACTAAACACAATTGCTAAATCATCATACTCGGGGGGAATGTGCAATGCCGGCAGTTGGTTTGGACTTTCCACCGAGGTCGCCCCTACGGAAACGCCCAGACATCGCCCTACACACTGGACAGACCACTCCTTGAGAGCCCTCTGTTGCCACGAAATAGAGGGATTATGAGTAATCAACCAGGGAAGCCCCAGCACCACCGGATACGCAGGATAGTCTATAAGATATAGCTGAATAGTCTCCTCATGACCCTCCTGCTTCCCCATCCTAAGTGGAGCTGTGACCTCCCTAATCAACCCCGATCCCAACGGACGGCTATCTAAAGCATGTACAGGGAAGGGACTACTGACTGGAAGGAGGGGAATCCCTAACTCAGCACAAAATCGCCGATCTATAAAATTCCCAGCTGCGCCTGAATCTACTAGCACCTTATGCTGGGAATGAGGTGCAACCTGTGGGAAGCAAACAGGTATGGTTAGGTAATCAACAGAGAGCTCTGGGTAAGTGGGGCGCCTACTCACCTGGAGGGACTCCCCAGAGCGTGGCCTGCCGTCTCTCCCCCTAGGAGACCCCCTCCAGCACCTGGCCGCAGTGTGTCCTCCACGGCCACAGTAGGTACAGGGGTTGGTTCCCCTGGGGCTCCTTCTCCTCTCCTCTCTAGCGCCAGCACCCCCGAGCTCCATAGGACTAGGCTCGGAGGTGCTGGAGGGTGGAATGGACGACCCCCACTCAGGACGTCCGCGGGTAGCCAACAGGGTGTCGAGGCGAATGGCCATGTCAACTAACTGGTCAAACGTGAGGGTGGTGTCCCTGCAGGCCAACTCACGACGGACGTCCTCCCGTAGGCTGCAGCGGAAGTGGTCTATGAGGGCCCGCTCATTCCACCCTGCGTCTGCCGCTAGAGTCCGGAACTCCAGTGCAAAATCCTGTGCGCTCCTCTTCCCCTGTCGGAGGTAGAATAGACGTTCTCCCCGCCGCCTTCCCCTCAGGTGGATGGTCGAATACAGCCCTGAAGCGACGGGAGAACTCTGCATAGGTGATCGTCGCGGGGTCTATTCTCCTCCATTCGGCGTTGGCCCACTCCAACGCCTTGCCGGTGAGACAGGAGATGAGGGCGGAAACGCTCTCGTGTCCCGAGGGCACCGGGTGTACGGTGGCGAGGTAGAGTTCTACTTGTAGGAGGAAACCTTGACACCCGGCAGCGGTACCATCATACGCCCTCGGGAGCGAGAGCCGAATCCCACTGGGTTCCGGAGCGTGGACTAAGGGACTGACCGGTGCTGGTGGTACTGTGGGAGGAGGCGTGGGTGCCCAACTGGTCTCCAGGCGATGCAGGGTATTCATTACTCCTTGTAATGCGTTGGTGATCTGGGCTATCCTGTCATCCTGTCCGCGGACGCGCTCCTCCCATGACTCGGTCGCTGCTGCTGCTCCTGCTGATTCCATGGGTGGTGTGTAGTTCTGTCAAGGCCGGGCGTAGGTGTGGTGTGGAATCAATTGCAGGATGCAGATGCAAGTCCAAAAACACTTTAATAAAGTCCACAGAAACAACGGCTATAAACAGAGCCGGTTGAACAAGGGAAAAATAAACGCACTCAGCGTAAAAGTACAACAAACGCACAACGTGCGGACTCTCTAATAACATAGAGCACAAACTGACTGGCAACACCTGCTGACATAGAACAACTACACACAACCACAAGACAGAAACAACGAGAACTTAAAGGACACATAATCAAGACGAAATGAGCAACAGGTGTAACAAATCAGACCAAACCAAACACACACAGACACAACGAACGGTGGCAGCTAGTACTCCGGGGACGACGACCGCCGAAGCCTGCCCGAACAAGGAGAAGGAGCAGCCTCGGCCGAAACCGTGACACTTACCGTGAAATGTTTACTTACCCCTTAACCAACAATGCAGAGTTTTAAACAAGTAAATAAGAAACATTTGCTAAACTAAAGGAAAAATAGTAACACAATAAAAGAGCAATAACGAGGCTATATAATAAAATATATCATTTAGCAGACGCTTTTATCCAAAGCAACTTACAGTCATCTGTGCATACATTTTCCCTAGCGGGAATCAAACTCAAGAACCCTTGGCGTTGCAAGCACCATGCTCTACAGTCTGAGGCACACAGGACCCATATACAGGGCTACCGGTACTAAGTTCATATACAGGGCTACCGGTACTAAGTTCATGTGCAGGGGTACAAGTTCGTCGAGGTAATTAATGTAATATGTACATGTAGGTAGGGGTGTGTGTGTGTTGGAACATCAGTGTAGTATGTGTGAGTGTGTGGTTAGAGTCCAGTGAGTGTACATTGAACCTGTGCAAGAGAGTCAGTGCAACAAAAAAAAATAATCAAATAAGGGGGTCAATGCAAATAGACCGGGTAGCCATTTGATTAACTGTTCAGCGGGTCTTAAGGGTTGGGGGTAGAAGCTGTTAAGGAGCCTTTTGGTCCCAGACTTGTTGCTCCAGTACCGTTTGCCGTGCGATAGCAGAGAGAACAGTCTATGACTTGGGTGGCTGGAGTCTTTGACAATTTGTAGGGCCTTCCTCTGACACCGCCTGGTATAGAGGTCCTGGATGGCAGAAAGCTCGGCCCCAGTGATGTACTGGGCCGTACGCACTACCCTCTGTAGCACCTTGCGGTTGGATGCTGAGCAGTTGCCATACCAAGTGGTGATGCAACCAGTCAGGATGCTCTCGATGGTGCAGCTGTATAACTTTTTGAGGAACTTGAAGCTCTCGGCCCACTCCACTACAGCCCCGTCGATGTGAATGGGGGCATGCTCGGTCCTCCTTTTCCTGTAGTCCACGATCAGCTCCATTGTCTTGCTCACATTGAGGGAGAGGTTGTTGTTCTGGCACCACACTGCCAGGTCTCTGACCTCTTCCCTATAGGCTGTCTTATCAGTCAGTTAACACTTTATGAATTATGAAGCCTTTGTTCTTTTTTTTATTACATAAATACTTAAAAATTCACAAAAAGTGATATTAGCTGATGTAGAGTATCTCATAGAACAAAACATATAAGATCTCCTACAGACCTTATTTTTGGCATTTATCCAAAAATGCCATTCATTTCCCCATAGGCTTTGTCCACAAAAAGACGCCATTACTATTTATCTCTATTGAGTCCTTCATATGTCTGTTGGAGGGAAGGTAAAAACCATTAAAGCCTGGGAGGGCACGGCGCTTGTAACGCCAATGTAGTGGGTTCGATCACCCGGGACCACCCATACAAAAAAAAAAAAATGGTATGCACGCATGACTAAGTCGCTTTGGATAAAAGCGTCTACTAAATGGCATATTATTATGAATGTTACACAGGTGGGAGTGTTTGTCACACAGCCTGTCACTAAGCTGTTGGGGAACAATGCCATGCATTTGATTGGTGCACCAGAGGACCAACTCCTGTCCTGGAGGCTGTCAGTCAACAACTGACGGACATCCATCTGGATAGACCTCCTATGGATATACATTGAGGCAGAAACAACAAGAATGAGTTCTCTATACTTTTAACAAAGTAGTCTAGACCAATGCTTTTGCTTTGCCTGGCCCATTTGAGACCACATTATTGAACCACAAAGACAAGGAAAAACACACTCCACATATATAATAGCAAAATGTGATTTTATTAGACAATTCAATGTTTAAGCTTTGACATTGGTACAATGGTTTCAGACAGTTTATTTCAATAAATTACTGCACGTCAACCCCGCATCCATTCAGGCCTTGACATAGTGGGACGACATTCTACTGACAACTTCTGACTGACCATCTAGAATTCCTGCTCTCTGAAGAATATGCTCATATGTCAAACAATTTGAGCCTTTTGTTTATAAAGTAAATAGCAAAACAAGTGTTTACAGACAATTAGCCTATACAATGGCTAAACATATGCATACATTAGAAAATGTAATTCTGTTTCAAACTGAGATTCACAGTATCTGGTTTTGTCAGCCCAGTTTACCCAGGCCTGTAGACAAGGGGCATTTCTCCTAAGGTTGGAAGGGGTACATTTCACAAGTTTCCCAACAGTAAGCTGTTGACAGAATGAAGAGGTGTTCAGTTTGTACCAGTCAATAGTTCCTCAATGATAAAACATGTTTTTGTACAATTACCATAATGATGACAAAATTATTATCAATATTATTATTATATGTGGTGCTCTGACAAAGGCTAAATTCTGGCCATTCCCTGTGTGAACACATAACAGTGAGACAGAGAGACACGACAGCAATCAAACAGTATGACAACTGTCTCAAAATGCCCTCCTGGTAAGAATTCCCCATTCCCTTTTAGTGCGTGGCAGGTTCATGGTATAGCTCAACATATTGGGATGGAAGTGGGGATAACAAATGATTCTAGGAGTTGGACCACATTCATAACAAATGTGTATTGAAAGGATCTGGACCTTTAGTTGGACAAATAAAGAAATGATAACAAATGGAGCTGAGGCACAGTGGGGGATCTAGTCCCTAAACCAGAAAATAACAAATTTTCAAGGAACAGAATCAGAACCGGGAATGAAAGTGATCTATACTGTTCCTGAACAGAACCATTATTTTAAAAGCATGGGAATCGGTTAATAACATTATTTTACGTTCCAGCAAAAAATGCAACTATGCAAAGCCCTCACTCTGTCACTCAGAAACGTATTCCATTGTCTGCCTGCCAGCTGAAAATCTTTACCAGTGTGTGTGCGCGTGTGTAGGCTACCTGCCCCTCCCCCTCCGAAGCATAGGCTACTGTAGCCTACAGAAATTACACGCATGATTCAGAAATTAGGAAGAGATTTTTAAATTAGAGAAGAATGTATAAACTTTTTTAATGTTAGTTAAGGATACTATAGTTATCACATTTCAAATTGGATTTATTAACTACAAATAGGTTAGACGTGTTTTTATTTAAATTCTGGTGCCGCTCTGCACAGCTTGTTAGCTAGCTAGCTCTGGTCCAACGTTAAGACAACTCTCAGAAGTTCAAAGACATTCAAAGTTCCTCCATAGAAGCCACTCCTCCGTAGGTTTAATTTTGTGGGCCTAATTCATATAATGCATGTAATAAACAAGATGCCCAGCACTTCAAGCCAAGCCTCCTCCTCTGCTCTCTCGCTCTCCCCACACACACATTTTCAGTCGCATCTCGCGCCTTACATTTCTGTCCAATGCATGTAAAAAACTATAGCTTGGCCACTCCATAGCAAGCTGCTCTATCCGCACAAATTGGTGAAGTAATTTAATGTCTGAGGTTTATAAGGGAACAGTAAGGAACGATATAAATCAGTATTTTTTGGGATTCAAACCGGTTTAAAACTTTATTTGTTGGTTGGAACAGCAAAAAATTACAAAAATGGTTCCGTTCAGAACTAAACAAATGGAAAATGATTTCGGTTCTAACCCCTGGTTGGTACATTGCCATCAGAAAGTATTCACAGCCCTTGACTTTTTACACATTTGGTTGAGTTACAGCATGAATTTAAAATTGATTAAATTGAAATGTTTTGTCACTGGTCTACACACAATACTCCATAATGTCAAAGTGGACATATGTTTTCTGAAATTTTTACAAATTAATTAAAAATAAAAAGCTGAAATGTCTTGAGTCAATAAGTATTGAACCCCTTTGTTATGGCCTAAATACCTTCAGGAGTATACATTTGCTTAACAAGTCGCATAATAAGTTGCATGGACTGTGTACAGTAATCGTGTTTATCATGATTTTTGAATGGCATACAGTGGGGGGGAAAAAAGTATTTAGTCAGCCACCAATTGTGCATGTTCTCCCACTTAAAAAGATGAGAGAGGCCTGTAATTTTCATCATAGGTACACGTCAACTATGACAGACAAATTGAGAAAAATAAACCCAGAAAATCACATTGTAGGATTTTTAATGAATTTATTTGCAAATTATGGTGGAAAATAAGTATTTGGTCACCTACAAACAAGCAAGATTTCTGGCTCTCACAGACCTGTAACAACTTCTTTAAGAGGCTCCTCTGTCCTCCACTCGTTACCTGTATTAATGGCACCTGTTTGAACTTGTTATCAGTATAAAAAGACACCTGTCCACAACCTCAAACAGTCACACTCCAAACTCCACTATGGCCAAGACCAAAGAGCTGTCAAAGGACACCAGAAACAAAATTGTAGACCTGCACCAGGCTGGGAAGACTGAATCTGCAATAGGTAAGCAGCTTGGTATGAAGAAATCAACTGTGGGAGCAATTATTAGGAAATGGAAGACATACAAGACCACTGATAATCTCCCTCGATCTGGGGCTCCACGCAAGATCTCACCCCGTGGGGTCAAAATGATCACAAGAACGGTGAGCAAAAATCCCAGAACCACACGGGGGAACCTAGTGAATGACCTGCAGAGAGCTGGGACCAAAGTAACAAAGCCTACCATCAGTAACACACTACGCCGCCAGGGACTCAAATCCTGCAGTGCCAGACGTGTCCCCCTGCTTAAGCCAGTACATGTCCAGGCCCGTCTGAAGTTTGCTAGAGTGCATTTGGATGATCCAGAAGAGGATTGGGAGAATGTCATATGGTCAGATGAAACCAAAATATAACTTTTTGGTAAAAACTCAACTCGTCGTGTTTGGAGGACAAAGAATGCTGAGTTGCATCCAAAGAACACCATACCTACTGTGAAGCATGGGGGTGGAAACATCATGCTTTGGGGCTGTTTTTCTGCAAAGGGACCAAGACGACTGATCCGTGTAAAGGAAAGAATTAATGGGGCCATGTATCGTGAGATTTTGAGTGAAAACCTCCTTCCATCAGCAAGGGCATTGAAGATGAAACGTGGCTGGGTCTTTCAGCATGACAATGATCCCAAACACACCGCCTGGGCAACAAAGGATTGGCTTCGTAAGACGCATTTCAAGGTCCTGGAGTGGCCTAGCCAGTCTCCAGATCTCAACCCCATAGAAAATCTTTGGAGGGAGTTGAAAGTCCGTGTTGCCCAGCGACAGCCCCAAAACATCACTGCTCTAGAGGAGATCTGCATGGAGGAATGGGCCAAAATACCAGCAACAGTGTGTGAAAACCTTGTGAAGACTTACAGAAAACGTTTGACCTGTGTCATTGCCAACAAAGGGTATATAACAAAGTATTGAGAAACTTTTGTTATTGACCAAATACTTATTTTCCACCATAATATGCAAATAAATTCATTAAAAATCCTACAATGTGATTTTCTGGATTTTTTTTCCTCATTTTGTCTGTCATAGTTGACGTGTACCTATGATGAAAATTACAGGCCTCTCTCATCTTTTTAAGTGGGAGAACTTGCACAATTGGTGGCTGACTAAATACTTTTTTTCCCCACTGTACCTCATCTCATCCACACATACAGATAATTGTAAGGTCCCTCAATCAAGCAGTGAATTTCAAACAGAAATTCGACCAGGGAGGTTTTCCAATGCCTCACAAAGAAGGCCACCTATTGGTAGATGGGTAAAGAAAAAGCAGACATTGAATATCCTTTTGAGTATGGTCAAATTATTCATTACACTTTGAATGGTGTATTAATACATCCAGTCACTACAAAAATACAGGCGTCATTCCTAACTCAGTTGCCGGAGAGGAAGGAAACCCCTCTGGGATTTCACCATGAGGCCAATTGCGACTTTAAAACAGTTACATAATTTAATGGCTGTGATGGAAGAAAACTGAGGATGGCGCAACAACATTGTAGTTACTCCACAATACTAACCTAATTGACTGAGTGAAAAGAAGGAACCCTGTAAAGAACACAAATGTTCCAAAACATGCATCATGTTTTCAACAAGGCACTAAAGTAACACTGCAACGAATGTGGCAAACCAATTAACTTTTAATCCTGAATACAAAGTGCTATGTTTGGGGCAAATCCAATACAACACATTACTGAGTACTTCCATATTTTCAAGCATAATGGTGGCTGCATCATGTTATGGGTATGCTTGTAATCATTAATAATAATTAGTCATTTAGCAGACGCTCTTATCCAGAACGACTTACAGGAGCAATTAGGGTTAAGTGCCTTGCTCAAGGGCACATCGACAGATTTTTCACCTAGTCGGCTCGGGGATTAGAACCAGCGACCTTTCGGTTACTGGCACAACGCTCTTAACCACTAAGCTACCTGCCGCCCGTTAAGGATTGGGGAGTTTTTCAGGATAAAAAATAAACGGAATGGAGCTAGGCACAGGCAACATTCTAGAGGAAAACCTGGTTCAGTCTGCTTTCCACCAGACACTGGGAGATGAATTCACCTTTCAGCAGGACAGTAACCTAAAACACAAGGCCAAATTTACACTGGAGTTGCTTACGAAGAAGACAGTGAATGTTCCTGAGTGGCCGAGTTACAGTTTGGACCTAAATCTACTTGAAAGTAATTTTCCATAAATTTGCTAACATTTCTAAAAACACGTTTTCACTTTGTCATTATGGGGTATTGTGTGTAGATGGGTGAAAATCTATTTAATCCATTTTGAATTCAGGCTGTTACACAACAAAAATGTGGAATAAGTCAAGGGGTATGAATACTTTCTGATGGCACTATAGTTAGTACCTTGACAGGTGGAAGAGACTTGACATTCCATGGCTATGTCAGAAATGTGTCGCGTTTCCTGACTAGGATTTCTTACATTCCTATTGGGTTACATGTACCGAGTCTGCGTTTCCAGAGGTCATTTATGATGAATACCAAAGTGCTTAAACATCAATAACCTAGATTCATATCCCAAACACTCCCTTGTCCTAGGTTGTACCATATCACGTACCAAAATAAATTAAATCAAAGCTTCCTTCATAAAATACCAGTAAATATGAGTTATGGTTTAAGGCCATGACGGGCAGCGTTTGTGTTTGTCAAACAACATTCAAGTGCAATAAAGTGTTCCATGATATGACAAAGAGTGTACGATAGCTCTCAGAAATCTCTGCTATACTACGAGTCCGGTTCGTGGTTTCTTTGATCATGCAATAAGGCACCGCAGTTGAAGCTGGTAAGTAGAGGCTGACAAGGCTTGTTAAAGAGACAAAAGAATACCATCACTCCGTTCTTTGTCATGCACAGAATAAATTCAAATACTCTTTGTAAAAGTTATATAATATATATATGAAAACTCTTATGTACAGTTAATTGTCAAATGGTATATCTCTTTCGCACATTACTGTAAAATATTCCCTACATTTGCATGCTTCAAATGCAAGTCACATTTGGAGCTAGGATTGGTTGACACCTCCCAGGGGAAGGTTTTAAGTATGTACAGCTGATACGCTCAGATGGGACGCCACCCACACAAGCTCCGCCTTCAAAACTCTGGATGCCACCCCCCATCCCTGCTCCCGCCCTGTTAGGGGAGGGGATCAGATCTTGGCCTCTCTGTTTGAGGTAGCAGTTCCCAGTGCAAAGAACAAGTCCTCTCAGGGCTAGTGAGTCTGTTAGTGTCAGGGTGGGGAGAGCCTGCTAGTCGCTGGCGCTCCTGAGGGGGGTGCTGTCACTCTGGGAGGCTCTGGGAGTGTGTCCGTTGGACAGTAGAGTCTGTCTGAGCTCTGGCTCACAATCCGTGTCCAGTGTGTATTGGTGTGTTACGGGGGCGAGTTTCACCGGCTTGTGGAAGGCCTCCTCTTGGGATGGGGAGCACACTAGCATTGTGTGTCCTGTCCTGTTCACTGAGGAACCTGGGAGAGAAAAAAAGAGAGAAGAGAACGCCACGTCAGCCAGTCACTGCACATACACTTATCAAGACATCTATCTGTACAGAACTCAAGGCTATTGGCTATGGAATGCATCCATATTGCTACGTTTACATTATGAAGCGGAGATCGACATTCGACCACCAATTCATCCCAGATGGTTCCTTGCCAAAGGGTACAGCATCCCAGGACAAGACCCGACCTGCTCCCCTGTGAGTGTGGCAGCGATGGGAACTCAGTGCTGCTTTTCATGTTACTTAAGGTGAGAGGTATCCTTAGCATGTTCAGCCTCCCAACTACAGTAGAATACACTCTCAAATATAGGCCACAGACTATCCACCATACTCCCTTCATGGTGATTCGTCATGGCAGGGTCATCTACACAACTAAGGGCTCAAACGACAACAGATTCTCCAGCATTCCCCATCCTGTCCTCAACAGTGTGGAATAGGAATATCACTCTACCTTTTCTGTTGTGGTTTCTCTGTGATGACACTGTGTTGTGGTTGCTGGGAAATTCAGGTGGCGGGGCATCCCTTCTGACTCCATTGGGGGTCCCGTTGCAGAGGGGGGCCGTGTAGGGTCCTGTGTCCACCCCTAGGGGTACAGGTACACTGTAGTCCATGTGCTGGGGGTGAGCGCGTTGTTGGTACTCCAGGCCTGCAGGTCCAAGCCCCTGGGGGAGGTATTCTGAGTCTGACTTGGAGTAGCTGTTCCCATTCTCCATACACTCTGTACAAACTACAGCCCCATTGTAACCTACACCAGCACATAGACAGAGAGAATATAGTTATTAAGACGCCTACACTTTTCCACAATTCCATGAATTTAGAGGAGACGTAAAGCAAACATTCCGTGAAGTTAGATACAAAAGGACCTTGAGCGGTCCAGCAGTTCAGTCATGGAGGAGAATTGGAGGTTCATATGGGAACCAAGCTGAAGACTTTACCTGTGTTGTCTATGTGTCCGTTGGGCTGAGGTCCAACGCTAGCCTCCACGCGGATACACACGTCCTGGCGCTCCGAGAGGGTCCCCTGGGAGGACAGGTAGCTGGGGACGTCCGGGGGCACGATTGTCTCATCTGGGAAGGGAGGAGAGGGGACAGATAACATTAGCACCAGCACAAACTACGGTCAACACCATGACATGGATGGTGAACAGCCATTTCCTGTGATAAGTATGAAAATGTATGCACTCACTAACTGTAAGTCACTCTGGATAAGAGTGTCTGCTAAATGACTAAAATGTAAATGTAAATAAGTATAACTATATGAGTGCCCTCTCACCCGTGTTGGTTACGCTGCACTCCTCGCTCTTCTTGCGCGTCTGGTAGATGATGCACACCCACACCAGCGAGGTCACCACGATGCTGGTCACCACGGCAATTACGATGATGCCCATGGTGACGGTGCTGGGGCCAGACGGAGCGGAGCAGCCGGTCTGCCGCTGACGGACACTCAGCTGGCTGTGGCCGCGCTCCGTGCCCAGCGTGTTGGACATGACGCACGTGTACCTCCCAGCGTCCTCTAGGGCGGCGCTGCCGATCACCAGCAGCTGGTTGCCGGGGGTGAAGTGGTGTCGGTCAGAGGAGTGGAGGGGCTCGTCGTTCCTCAGCCAAGTGATTTTGGGTGGGGGGCTGCCCTGGGCCTTACACTGCAGGGCTACAGTCTCCCCCACCACCACACTACGGTCCTCCAGCTCTTGGTCCAGGTGGGGCGTCTCTGTAGACAGGAGGGAAAGGTCAAAGTCTAGTAATCCCACTAGCGCAGACAGGTCATTCCCAACTCTACTCTCATTACTTCTCAAACTAAATTGACACAACTGGTGCGTTTTGCAACTACTTAGCATGTTAGCTAACCTATCCCCTAATATTTTTCCTAACCTTAACCAAAGTAAGTTAACTATGTAAATTCTCCTAACCGCTGCGTTAATTCTCCTAACTGCTACGTTAATTATCCTAACCGCTACGTTCATTCTCCTAACCGCTACGTTAATTATCCTAACCGCTACGTTCATTCTCCTAACTGCTACGTTCATTCTCCTAACTGCTACGTTCATTCTCCTAACTGCTACGTTCATTCTCCTAACTGCTACGTTCATTCTCCTAACTGCTACGTTCATTCTCCTAACTGCTACGTTCATTCTCCTAACTGCTACGTTAATTATCCTAACTGCTACGTTAATTATCCTAACTGCTACGTTAATTCTCCTAACCACTACGTTAATTATCCTAACCGCTACGTTAATTATCCTAACCACTGCGTTAATTCTCACAAATTCTAATGACGCAACAGTGGGCATATTGTGTACATAATTCTAATGAGCCTTTTGTGTAGGCGCGTTCCAAAAGCAACACTGTTTTGTCAATCACTCCTATCGATTATCACGTCGGAATCAATTGTGTGAGGTTGCACGTCCTGTTAAAACTAACACAGCTCAAAAACCACATGGAATCTGGGAATAATGTGTACATCACTGGTTAGAGGACAAATTGTAGAAGACAGCTAGCTACATTTTGAAGTGTTGCATTTTGATTCAAGTGGGTCACCAACACAGTAAGTGTAAAGCAACACCTTTTTTTTTTTTTTAAATCACTTCCATCAATATCACTTTGAAATCAATAGAACAGGGGGAAAATGTTTGGGGTGTAGCGCTGTTTAAACTAACACTATTCAAAGGCCACAAGGAAACTTGGAATAACCTATAGATGGTTGGTTAGATGAGAATTTGTAGAAGGCTTCTATCTATATTTTGGAATGGCAGATGTTGATTTTGGGAGGCTGCCATCACGGAAAAGAAAACAAAACTTTTTCTGTTAGTTAATTTCAACGAATCATATGACCCGCTATAGGATACCAACAGTGACAACGGTTGGCTGTTATTTAAGCGATCATTTGACTTTCAAATCCGTGTATTGATGTGTGGCCAGCAATTTTTATAGAGAAACCGCCCAAAATGATCTGTTCCATTTGAGAAAGAAAATGATAGCTGCGTTCTAAGACCTACGATCTTCTGTCATCGTGTTGACTATAAACTTTTATAGCCTTTATAACCAATCTGAGGTAAAAAGGGATGTGTAATTCCCCCCCAATTAGATGTGGTCAAACCGTCAGCTTGTGTAATGTAGTAACACATACTGTCCACATCATGGAAAGTAGCGTAATATATACTGAACAAAAACATAAAAGCAACATGTAAAGTATTGGTCCAATGTTTCATGAGCTGAAATAAAAGATCTCAGAAATGTTCCATATGCACAAAATATGCATACATTTTTGACATCCCTGTTAGTGAGCATTTCTCTTATACCAATATAATCCATCCACCTGAAAGGTGTGGCATATCAAGAAGCTGATTAAACAGAATGATCATTACACAGGTGCACCTTGTGCTGGGGACAATAAAAGGCCACTCTAAAATGTACAGTTTTGTCACACAACACAATGCCACAGATGTCTCAGGTTTTGAGGTAGCGTGCAACTGGCATGCTGACTGCAGGAATGTCCACCAGAGCTGTTGCCAGATAATTGAATGTTAATTTCTCTACCATAAGCCGCATCCAACGTCGTTTTAGAGAATTTGGCAGTACATCCAATCAGCCTCACAACCGCAGACCACGTGTAGCCAGCCCAGGACCTCCACATCCGTCTTCTTCCCCTGCGGGATTGTCCGAGACCAGCCACCCGGACAGCTGATGAAACTGAGGAGTATTTCTGTCTGTAATAAACTAATTCTGATTGGCTGGGCCTGGCTCCCCAGTGAGTGGGCCTATGCCCTCCCCAACCATGGCTGCACACTGCCCAGTCATGTGAATTCCATAGATTAGGGCATAATTTATTTATTTCAATTGACTGATTTCCTTATATGAACTGTAACTCAGTAAAATCGTTGACATTGTTGCATGTCACAATGGTGTCGGAGAGGATGGCTGCCATTTTACGGGCTACTAACCAACGGTGCTATTTTGTGTGTTTTTTCACATTGTTTGTAACTTATTTTGTACATAATGTTTCTGCTACTGTCTCTTATGACCGAAAAGAGCTTCTGGATATCAGAACAGTGATTACTCACCTCAAAAAGAACAAATATTTTTTATTTAATGAGTCCGACGCGAAGGATATACTGTTTCTCCGAGACGTGGCCCAAATCCCCGTCATTCGCGTGAAGAAAAGACGGAGGTACAGGGGGCGGAGATCGGGGTGCCTTGTGAGAATTCGTAGGCGAGTGGTTAACACGCCTCTACCATCCGTTCTATTTGCCAACGTGCAATCACTGGAGAATAAACTGGATGAGCTCCGTTCCAGACTATCCTACCAACAGGACATTAAAAACTGTAATATCTTATGTTTCACCGAGTCGTGGCTGAATGACATGGATAATATACAGTTGGCTGGGTTTTCCGTCCATCGGCAGGACAGAACTGCTACGTCCGGTGGTGTGTGTGTTTATTTGTCAATAACAGCTGCTGCGCGATATCTAATATTAAGAAAGTCTCAAGGTATTGTTCGCCTGAGGTAGAGTACCTGATGATAAGCTGTAGACCACACTATCTACCAAGAGATTTGTATCTATATTTTTCGTAGCCGTCTATTTACCACCACAAACCGATGCTGGCAGTAAGACCGCACTCATCGAGCTGTATATGGCCATAAGCAAACAAGAACATGCTCATCCAGAAGCAGCGCTCCTAGTGGCCAGGGACTTTAAAGCAGGCAATCTTAAATCCGTTTTACCTAATTTCTACCAGCATGTCACATGTGCAACCAGAGGTGAAAAAAAACTCTGGGCAGGGCTTGCAAACTACTACGGACTACAAAGGGAAACCCAGCCGCGAGCTGCCCAGTGACGCAAGCCTACCAGACAGGCTAAATGCCTTTTATGCTCGCATCGAGGCAAGCAACACTGAAGCATGCATGAGAGCACCAGCTGTTCCTGACGACTATGTGATCATGCTCTCCGTAGCCGATGTGAGTAAGACCTTTAAACAGGTCAACACTCACAAGGCCGCGGGGCCAGACGGATACTCAGAGCATGCGTGGACCAACTGGCAAGTGTCTTCACTGACATTTTCAACCTCACCCTGACCGAGTCTGTATTAACTACATTTCAAGCAGACCACCATAGTCCCTGTGCCCAAGAAAGCGAAGGTACCCTGCCTAAATGACTACCGCCCTGTTGCACTCACGTCAGTAGCCATAAAGTGCTTTGAAAGGCTGGTCATGGCTCAAATCAACACCATCATCCGGGAAACCCCAGACCCACTCCAATTCGCATACCGCCCCAACAGATCCACAGATTACGCAATCTCAATCGCACTCCAAACTGCCCTTTCCAACCTGGACAAAAGGAACACCTATGTGAGAATGCTGTTCATTAACTACAGCTCATTGTTCCACACCATAGTGCCCACAAAGCTCATCACTAAGCTAAGGACCCTGTGACTAAACACCTCCCTCTGCAACTGGATCCTGGACTTCCTGACGGGCTGCACCTAGGTGGTAAGAGTAGTCAACAACACATCTGCCACGCTGATCCTCAACACAGGGGCCCCTCAAGGTTGTGTGCTTAGTCCCCTTCTGTACTCCCTGTTCACCCACGACTGCATGGCCAAGCACGACTCCAACACGATCATTAAGTTTGCTAACGACACAACGGTGGCAAGCCTGATCACCGACAATGATGAGAGCCTGTAGGGAGGAGTTTAGAGACCTGGAAGTGTGGTGCCAGGACAACAACCTCTCCCTCAATGTGAGCAAGACAAAGATGATAATCGTGGACTACAGGAAAAGGAGGGCCAAACACACCCCCATTCACATCGACGGGGCTGTAGTGGAGCGGGTAGAGAGTTTCAAGTTCCTTGGTGTCCACATCAACAACAATATATCACGGTCTAAACACACCAAGAAAGTTGTGAAGAGGGCACGACAACGCCTTTTCCCCCTCAGGAGACTAAAAAGATTTGGCATGGTTCCCCAGAGCCTCAAAACGTTCTACAGCTGCACCATTGAGAGCATCCTGACCGGTTGCATCACCGCCTGGTATGGCAACTGCTCAGCATCCGACCGTAAGGCGCTACAGAGGGTTGTGTGTACAGCCCAGTACATTACTGGGGCCAAGCTTCCTGCCATCCAGGACCTATATACTAGGCGGTGTCAGAGGAAGTTCCATAAAATTGTTAAAGACTCCAGTCACCCAAGTCATAGACTGTTCTCTCTGCTACCGCACGGCAAGCGGTACCGTAGCACCAAGTCTAGGTCCAAAAGGCTCCTTAACAGCTTCTACCCCCAAGCCACAAGGCTGCTGAACAATTCATCAAATGGCCACCAAGACTATTTATATTGACCCCCTTTGTTTTTACACTGCTGGTACTTGCTGTTTATTATCTATGCATAGTGACTTTACCCCTACCAATGTACAAATTACCTTGACTAACCTGTACCCCCGCACATTGACTCGGTACCGGTACCCTCTGTATATAGCCTCGTTATTGTTATTTTATTGTGTTACTTTTGATTACATTTTTTACTTTAGTTTATTAAGTAAATATCTAAATTTCTTGAACTGAATTGTTGGTTAAGGGCTTGTAAAGTAAGCATTTCACGGTAAGGTCTACACCTGTTGTATTCGGTACATGTGACAAATACAATTTGATTTGATGTTGCATTTATATTTTTGTTCCTTATACATTAATTAGATATGGCAAAATATTTCTCTCTTAATTTAGGATGATAGTAAATGAAGAAAACATTTAACCATTTAGAGATTCAAAAAATGCTCCTAAGCACAATTTAACTAGGGGCTCTAGACTAGTGTCCATAGGGTCTCCGCAGCAGGCTGAACGTTTGACGCCCCTACTCTTAGAGAGAACCCCTTTCCCTCTCAGCAGGAAACACAAAGATTAAGAGATTTCACTTACCCCTTTCCCACCCTCCTTCCCCCTCTGTCTCCTCCACCTCTTCAGACAAGGCCTCAGCTCTGAGCTTTCCTCATGCATGACTAAACATTACAAAGCCACTCCTGAGGGCTATTGCTATCTCATATCCCTGCGAGGAGTTGTTCTGCACTACTACAGTCTACATACAGTGGAGTAGACCAAGCCCTTACACATTACAGTACTTGACAATATGTGATCTCATCAACTAGCCTCAGTCCTCACACTACCAATAGAAGCCCCTCCAGGAGAACTGAGGCCTCCACCCTGAGAGGAGAGGGGTGAGAAGTAACAAACACCCCTCTGTGAAGTCCCCCTATCCCACCCTCCCCCATCTAACCCCTACCCTGACCTCTGACTCAGAGGAAGGCCACAGCTGCCAGAAGCATTTCATTCTATGACCAAGGCGACCAGTTCACAACTGGCTTTAGAGCCGTTTACAAGTGTACATATTTTGTCGGAAGTAGTATCAATAATGGTCACCTGAACCATAAATCCTCAAACATTGTAGAGGGGTGTGGGTGAGTGTGTCAGTAGGTGTAGGGCATTGCCAGCAGTCAAGTCTTACTCAGCACGGTGAGAGAGGCATTGGCAGACACGGTGCCCGCTGTGTTCTTGGCGGTGCAGCTGTACACGCCCATGTCCTCCAGCTTGACGTCCATGATGAAGAACACGTCATCGTCAGGCATCACGTGCATCCGCCGCTCGCGTGCCGCCGGGAAGTCCGTGCCTCCGTCCTTTTGCCAGGCGATCTCGGGGGTGGGGTGCCCCTCGGCCGCACACTCCAGCTTGGCAGTGGTGCCCGTACGGATGGTGTTGTCTCGAGGGGTCTTCACAAACGTAGGCATGACTGTGTGGGAATGGAGGAGATGAGACACTGGGTTAGCCACAACAGAGATATACTGAGGTTAACACCACAGCTACATAACAGTCCCTCCCATTTTGCAATGGAGTGTAGAGAAAGTATGGCAGTTTTAAAAAGGTAATTTCCTGCAATTCTACACATTTTGTAATGACTTATGCCATGTTTATATGATATCTGTGAGAGCGACTAACAAAATCAATGAGCACTGAATGCGTGCCCAGTCAGTAATTTGGTGATGATTAGGCCTACTACAAGGATTAGATAGCTGGCTAAACTACTTTACCTAACAATCTAAAACAATATTAGCTGACATGGCCTAATTGAGTGACTAACAAGTGGAAAACTGTTGATGCACTACTACAATTTGAAATTGCACCTTGTGTATTCTACTTTTCTACCTCAACAGTAAGTTGAGACCCTGACTTAGTTCCAAAATCTGTATTTTAAGGTCGGGGTGCCCTAGCAGCCGCAGTGCCCTACGCACAGCGCGTAGTCTGCGTATAGGAAGAGGCGGTTCTGCTATCATTGTTTAGAAGTTGAATTGGGTTGGGGAGATGGCTAGGGAGACGGTTTCATTTGGGTGGGCAGGGCAGCCAGGAAACCAAACTACAGTCTGCCAGCAAACAATCAGTCAGCATCGGTTGGCCTAACTGAAAGGACGTGTAATATATGGGCACTGTCAGCACCACAACAAGCCTAAATCAATTTGTTCCAAATTCCACCCAGAGAAACTCACAGAGAGAGATGCAGAGGGACAGAGAGAGAGAGATACTTTGTTTAAGCTAAGAATTACCACTAATCTCATTCTGCCCTGTTATGGAGTTTAAATGGGGAAAATATCTACTAAATCAGCATATTACAGAGGGAAAATTATCCAACCACACGCACACAAACAAACAAACTAGGGCTGTCCCCGACTAAAAAAAATCTTGGTCAACCGAGAGTCGTCCTTTTCTTTCGACTAACCTGTACCCCCGCACATTGACTCGGTACCGGTACCCCCTGTATATTGCCTCATTATTGTTATTTTATTGTGTTACTTTTTATTTTCATAATTAACTTTAGTTTATTTAGTAAATATTTTCTTAACTCTATTTTCTTAAACTGCATCGTTGGTTAAGTGCTTGTAAATAAGCATTTCACGGTAAGGTGTTGTATTCGGCGCATGTAACAAATAGAATTAGATTTTGTATAAACCAGTCATACTGGGAGACAGTTAACACTTCAGGGCCTGGCAGCGTACCGTTGACAGTGAGGCGGGCCTTGGTGGAGTAGGAGGAGCCAAAGTGGTTGGTGATGATGCATTGGTATCGGCCCTCGTGGGCGAAGGTCACATGGCGCAGGTGCAAAATGGTGGTGTACTCCATCACCCCCCCGGCCTCATGCACCCCCCCGTGGTGAGCGCGCACGTGGGCGAAGTTCTCCACCTCAGCATGGCGGAGCAGCTCCTGGTCTTTGCGCCAGGCGAAGGTCATAGGTGAGCTGCTGCTGCTGGCCGCCGTGCACGTGAGGCGCACATCACTACCCAGAACCGTCACTGTGGTCTCAGGCTGCACCGTGATCTGGGGCATAGGCAGGTCATCTACAGGAGAGAGACGGAGGGAGGGAGGAGAGAGACGGAGGGAGGACAAGAAAATGAGATAAGCATTATTCTTTGTAACCAAATGTTTTATCTCAGTGACAGAAGATATGTATACAAAAGTCTTGTTTAACACAAACATAAAGACAAACAAGGATTAGCACATCGCAGCTCAAACAAAGACACAAAATCAGACATTTGAACAAAATCACACAAACATAAACAAATACACACATATACTGTAAACAACCCTGAGCTGGAATCTAAAACACCATCTGGTCTTAGCTGCTGCCTGCGCTGTCTCAGGCAGAAAGCAACTGTACTGCCCCCCACCACACACACACCCACTACTCACCACAGACAAATCTCTCTGGTGGAGCCTGGAAGATGCTAGTACCCTTCAGGGTTTCGGGGTGGGCACAGGTAGCCTCTACGCCAGTCTGTAGCCCCCGGGTCATCAGCCACTCAGGGAACCAGTGGAGCTGACAGTCACACAGGAAACTGTCACTCTGGACGAGCCTGGGAGAGGAGGGACACTGTTAGGGCTAAATACATATATTCACTCTCTTTTATAGACTAGCTTTGATCTGAACATAATGAACTTCTTCCATGACTACAGCTGTATGGTGTAGCCATATCATAACATTGTGAAGATAATCACATTTTCCAGAGACGAGGTGTGAGGTGTGTGTGGGCGTGTGTATGGTGTGTGTGTACGTACGTGTGTGCATGTGTGTATACGTACGTGTGTGCATGTGTGTATGGTGTGTGTGTGTATTCATCATTGCGGACTCACAGGTTCCTGAGGCTCCTCATCTTGCTGAAGGCCTCTGGCTGGATGGAGCGGATGGCGTTCTCTCCCAGGTTCCTGTTGTGACATTAAACAGAGGGCTGTCCGTCAGCACTGACAGAAAGGGGACATGGGTACACACACGCACATGCATGCACACACACAGCTGTGTCCCCGCCAGCCAAGGATCGCTGTGCCTTTATTTATAAGGGCTTATTTTAAACAAGGTGGAAAGATTCAGGCATCACAGACCAAGGATACTCAACTTTTCAATCACTTTTTTCCTAATGGCCAGAGTCTGTTTAAAGTAACGGCCAGAGCCTGTGAAGGGGCTTATATAAATTCCATTTATTCTACGAAACTGACCATATGCTCAATAACTTTGTTCCCCTGCACCAGGAAAAAAGGCCAAAGTTGAAGCTGCCTCTAACGAGAGGGAAGCAGCTGGCCCCACAAACTGCCCGTCTTCTCCTTTTCCAAAGACGCTATTAAATTGCTAGCAGCACTCTCAGGCAGCTACTTTTGGCAGCCGATCTCGGGGTCGCGCAGTGCATTGTGGGATACTCACAGGTACTCCAGGGCCTCCAGTCCTGAGAAGGCTTTCTTGGCCACCGACTTGATCTTATTTCCAAACAGAGTTCTGCAATTTCCAAACATGAAGGGTGCCGATAAACGGGAGAGAACACGGGGGAGAGAGAGGGAGTGGACGGGGGACGGACAAAAAACAGACACAGAGAGAGAAAGAGAGAGGAGGAACGGGGTGAGGGGAGGAGAAGAGAGAGAGAAAGGCACAATTAGTGGGGCTGAATCTGATAAGAGCAGAGGATTGAGGTATTGGAAATCCGAACTGTGTGGAGATTAGGAGGGTGAGGGACTCGGCCCTGCTCTGCTCTTCAAAGACCACTTATCTTTATTTGAATTTAATAGCGATGACGGGGGGCACATGAAAAGCAGGTTGTCTCACTGAGGGACAACACAGCTTGTAGAGTAATAAAAGTAGCCTTGTCAAGGCCCAGTTCAAGCAAGGAACACGCAGCTTGCCCCCTTCTGGGGGTGTAATCTGGGTCGCTCTTCAAAATACACCCCTCTACCCTCCCTCCCTCTCCTCCCCTTCCGTCCCTCCATCCATCCTTCCTCTCCTCTATCCGCCTTCCTTCCCAGGAGAAGCGGATGGACACAGGAGGCTGTTTCAGAGTTAAGACCCCTGCATCGGAACACTTCAATCCAGTCCCGCCTCCTCCACTCTCTTCTCTCCCCCTCTATATGGACCCACTGAAAATCGACACTGTGCAATGTAAATACAAATCGTGTTTTAACAACCATTGGGCGTGCATCAGCTTGGTTACCATTACAATAGGGGTTGCATCTTCTTAAATTCTATCAGAAAATGTCAAAGCTGAACAACCTCAGATTCATTTGTCAAGAGGTATTCATCAGGTGTTCTATAAGACAGCCAGGGACCCAGGGTCTTGGGGTCCTCCAGGCAGACGACTGGTCATGGACAGGACCTGTCAACTCCTGACAGAGAGGTCACACCTCCGCTCAGCCCTCTATTGACCGCCACATCAGCCAGAGCCCTGTGGTTCTCGACCCTACACAGGGAGACGGGCTGAACAACAGGCCTCAGCACAGAGGAGAACCACTCCTCACTGGAAGTCACTGCATTGCCATCCAATTTATTTATTTATCTTCTCTTATTTCCACCATCATTTTGCACATCTAGCCATTTACATGGCCTTTCATTCCAACCATATTGTCTTCAAGTAATCACATTTTGGAAAGAATAAATACAATACTATAATGATATCACCCCAACTCTAACATATCTACATTCAATACATTAATGTATTTTACCTCCTAAAACAATAATGGGAAAATAGTGGTTGTTGTGAGAGCAGAAAAAGCTAAGAGTACAAGTTCTCCCATGTGGGGATATTCACAATTCGATTTGGAGGGACATAAAGCGTGTGGAGGACACTGATGTCCCTCGCACTCTCTCTCTGTTTTTTCCCAGGGTTGGTGAGTGTTGTTTTCCGGCGGGATGGAGGGATTGTGCCAGCGCTGGGCTGCAGAGGGCCGCTTCCACTCCACCACTCACTACTGGACAAAAGGGGTGGGGAGACGGGGCCAATGTGGTATTTGATGTTGATGACCGAGCCCGCCCCCCAATTTCACCCTCTCTCAGTCCCTAACAACAGGCAGGCAGGGCCGTGTTGCAGAGAGAGAGGAGCAGGGCTAGAGACGGAAAGACCTTCTGAGGCTCATCTCCAGCAGGCCAATAGAAAAGCCCTTTCAATAGGCTAGCACTCACGCAGGGAACGGCCTTAGTTGGACACCTGCTTTTCTCCTATATAGGATTGTTTAGGCCCCATTATGTTCGACTCTATGTTTATTGTGGTATGGTTGAATTTCTTAACCCTTTAACTAACATTTGACATTGCACTAGTCTAGATTCTGTGATAAAAAGGTTATATGAGAGATCACAACAAATTGGCATAGTTTAACCAACAAGTCAAGGCAGTTCAGCTCCCACCAACAGACAACCTCTGAACTTGGACACAAAGCAGTTTAGAGTCTGGTAAACAGAGATGAAAACCAGAATCAGGCTCATTTCAAGTTTCAAGCCAATTGCCGTTAAAATATTAATCTGCAAGCTTCATGAAAAAGCCTAATAAAACTCAGAGCAGCTCTTAAAGTAATCTCTCAGTGTTATACTTCCAAATGACATGTGGGGCCTGGAGGGGAGAGATAGACTGGAGCTGGAGCTGGTCCTGTCTAAAGCCAGGTCTGGGAAAACTACATATAGACTATAGGCAGTGGACAGGCCTCAGAAGGGAACTATGGGATTGTAGTAAAAAACCCTTCCCCCTGGACTGAAGGAGCTGTCCACAGAGCTGTATAGAATCACCTACCAGTGGCAGGTCAGCCAGCTCAAAGGGACCGATTCTGGGGAGAGGGGAGTGGGGGATGAGAGAAGGAGGGGGGTACTCACAGCTTGTTGAGGCTGTCCAGTCCAGAGAAGGCCCCATTGGTGTCCTCTATTGTGCCTGAGATGTCGTTATGGTCCAGTTCCCTGTGGAGAGAGAGAGAAAATAAGGGATAAGAAAGGTGGAGAGGAGGAGGAGAGCAAAACGAGAGCTGAAGCACTGTGTAGCCTTGGCAGAGACGGGGCTGGAAGTCACGGGTTACCACTCCACCCCCCACCCCCTTAACACCCCCCTGCACCTGGTCTAAAGAGCTAGCCTCTCTCCTGCTCTGCTCTGCCAGCCAAGCACATTCTTTCCTTTGTGAGGAGGAGGGGGGTGAAGGCACAAAACCCAACGCAGGCAAACACATGTATAATTCATGACAGCATGGAGGGATTGGCGGGCACACAATGCCTTTGGATACAGACAGTCAGTGCCTGAGTGTGGTGGCAGGTATGGCAGTCCCAACAGAGACTCAGAGCCTAATGAGTATAAAGAAAGACGCTAGCCATGTCCACGGCGAGCCGAGCCAGAATGAGATTCAATAAAACAATAGCTTTCAGTTTGAGTCTGCCGGGAAGTTTCCTAACACATGTTGAATGCAATTAATGAGCTTTTCCGACACACTACCTCGAACGGCTGAAGTCATCTGGGCAAAACAACAGCGGAACAAAGACATGAGTTGCCGCTCTATCGCATGCTTTGTTCCCTGTGCCGTTAAAATACTTTATTTCAAACTGAAAATCCTGTGAGTCTGATGGTCACCCATACCCCCTCCCAACACCTCCACCCTTCCCTAATCCCCTTTGGTTCCCTTTCCTCCATGGCCGGACTAGGCTGCCAATTTCCTATTCTTTCTGGCTGGCTGAGCGTGAAAGGCCGGTGCCTTCTTAATGCAGGCAGTGGCTGCGGGCCCCTGAGGACTGACCCCCCGGCTGAAATGCTCAACGTTTCTGGGCTTTCGCACCCACTGTGAACCTCCAGCCCCACGCCTCTACGGCCAGCAGCGCTACCCAATTAAAGCTGCCCCAGCTCCCTTACAGCCAGGGCCCGAGCCTACCCAGCGCTTCACTGATTAGATTAGAACTGCCTCAGAGAGAGAGAGAGAGAGAGAGAAGGGAGGAAAGCGAGGGAAGGAGAGCGAGGAAGAAAAAGGGTGAGCATAAAGGGAATAGGAAGTAAAATCAAAAGGAGAAAGTGAAAAGAGGAAAAAGGATGGGTGGAAAGAGTACGAACAGGCAAAACAAAGCAACCAAGTAAGAAAGAAAAGAAAGAGACCAAGAAAGAAAGAAAGAAAGAAAGAAAGAGTGGTTGGGAGAGGGGAGCCAAACAGAGGGCCTCTCACACAGCTGAACCCCCTCCCTCCAGCCCAACGCTCCCTCTGCGCCAGCAGAGAAAGACCTGTATATGCCTTGGCTTGTCACCCCACTGTGAGAAAGCAAAGGCCTGACTCTTTTCTCTGACTCTCTGGGAAGATCCCGGGCCAAAAAGACGTTAGTAGAAGGACCCACCCCCCAGCCTCCCTCTGCCTCTCTTTCTGCCTGTTCAAAGTCTGTGTAGAGGGTGGGGGGAGAGAAGTCACTCTCCCATACTGCTTTTCACTGCTCCGTTTAAAAAGGGCAAGAATCTCCAAGGAGGCAAATGACAGGGAACACATGTGCGTCCAATATCGATGGGAACCAACTACCAAACAAAGACAGAAGACGAAAACAGACGCACAAAAATAAAAGTTCTCACAGAATGAAATCATGACAATAGTGACGCATGCACACCTGGTAAACAGATACACATTAATATACATGGACGCAAACTAGATCTGTTTTGAAGCAATGGTCTAAAAACCAAACAGCAGCTAACCTCACTTGCTAAATGGCTCCTGAGGGGCTTAATAAAGCTATACTGAATATTGAATCCACATGAATAAAACGCAGACGCCAATATTGTATTGTTCTTAAATGAGTCACTTAAGATGAGTCTACATTGTGGAACCATAGTTGTGTGTGCTCTGGGAGCAGTCAGGAGGACTTACAGGAGGCGCAGTGCCTTGAGGCCTCTGAAGGCCCCCTCGGTGATGTGGCTGATGGCGTTGTGCCCCAGACGGAGTGTGTGGAGGTCCCCCAGCACCGCCAGGCTGCCCTCATCCAGACGACTCAGATTGTTGTAGGACAGATTCCTGCAGGAGGTGAGAAGAGAGAAATGCATACGGTTTCAGGCTTGGACCAGAAGGACAAGTTTGCACAGCACTAAGGTATCCTAACCTACCTGACGTCATTATTCTCTACTTTATGTGCCTCTGGATGGATGTTGTATTTTTCCACTGTGGTGTCAGTTCAATATCTGTTCATCCACAGCAGTTTCCTATCATGCTTGATTAGGAGTCGGGACACAAACCATTTAAAATTCATGTACATTTCCGGTTGGACAAATACACACTTCTCAAGACATATTTTCCCAGAGTTATGGTCCTGTCTAAGTAGGTACACGGTGTATCAGTGGTCGTAAATATGTCTTGTTTATCAGTGAGCGTGTTCAAAGGGTCTGTTGTGTGAGTGGCTGGGCTTTGCCTCTCTGAGGGGGGCTAGGATGGTCAGTCATGTGTGGTCAGTCTCTGTGATGCCCCGTCAGGCAGGCTGCCGTCTCATCCGGAATGTAATAACAGGCAGGTCATAAAGACAGCTTCTCTGCTACACCAGAGGGCTAACCAAGCCACTATCCTCCAGTATCCCACTGATATCACAGTCATCATGGCCCCGCTAATAAAATCATATAACCCCGGACTCGCACTGAGTGCAGTGAGTCGGCAACACAGATACACAGAGCAATCTGTCTCTCTCACACACACAGTGACACTGTGCGCAGACACACAGGAGCCTGACAGACAGCCTTACGGTACAGTTAGCGACGCCTGACCAGAGCTGAGCTCTACAGTAGTACAGTACAGTGGTGTAAGTATGTCAACCAGCCACAGGTTGTCGTAGTAATAATATATCCTTCATTAGACAGGGAGATCCCCCTGCAATTACCCTGTATCCCTACCAACAGAGGGTTACACGCTCTTTACCAACCTGACAGAGATGTGAATACAGAGAGGGCTTAAGTACTGTCAATCCTTTCGCTTATTATGGGATAAACAGGCTTATAGTGAGAAGAGTGTGTGGTATTGAGCGCTAAGTGAGTCATGTAGCTCTGGTGAAGGTAAACGGATGGGCGCAACAGGGAACAGATTCAGGGTTAGTTTGTGGTAGGGGATCAACAAGAAGAGACAGGTGGTTGATGGTTGGAGGCTGGGGTAAGACGTTGTGGTCCGGAGCTGAAGGCTAGGGGATGAATACTGTAGTTTGTTTCTCAGGGGATGGGGATGAGGTAGGGATTGGTGCTGTAGTTACAAGGGTTGGGAGGTTTCTGGTGCTATGGTTAACCTGGGTTTGGAGGTTTCTGATGTGGTACTCAGAATACTTACAGCTCCCGTAGCCTCTGGCAGAACCTCCAGCCATCTGGGTTGATGTGGGAGATTGAATTGTTACTGAGGAAGAGCTGCAGCAAAGACGACAGGCCGTACAGGGAGCCACTGTTCACTTCCCTCAGGCTGTTGTAGTCCAGGTGACTGCAGGGGAGGAGGTGGTCACAGAAACAGGTTCGGACTAGGCATTAGGGGTAATGTAGTTTGGTACCAAACAAGAGATAGAACATTAGAGGTTGTCCAGTCACGTTTTTATAGTTTAGCTCATAAGAATAGAGCATAGAGTTGCTTGTGAAACAATTGTTAAGAGTGGAAACTCATGAGTGGAGCAGGAGAAAGTGGTCCTACAAGTTCTTGAGAGCAACTGATCTGAATTAGTCCTCAAGGCTAGGCAGGGAGTTAGGAGCAGTATGTTTGTATGTTACTTACAGCACTTTCATCTTGGCCAGGCCCCAAAAGGCTCCGTCGGTGAGCTTGCTGATGTTGTTCCTCTGTAGCTTGAGGACCTCCAGACTGGCCAGACCCTGGAAGGTCAGCCCCTCCACCTGCCTCACACGGTTCCTGTTCAGCTCACTGGAGGACAGGAAAACAACACAGCAAGGAGTTAGAGAGAGATGCAATAATGAGCAGAGAAATTAGAGAGAAATATGGACTTACAGGTAGGTCAAAAAACCCTGAAGTAATACTGTAACACTTAGCAACACCATTCGGCCCCACAAAAACATAAGTGGCATTCCACGGTGGTATCTATTCCACCTGTGGCCAGCGATGTGTACCCCTGACAGCTGAGGTGAGGGTTTATAGACTAGGGTCACGTTCTGACCTGGGCACCCCAACACATGATCACAAACCTTCATTAACCATGCTAGGGTTAACTAGAGGAGCAAACTAAGTCATCAAAAAACATTAAAACAGCACCGACTTGTAGGGCAGGGCATCTGCATTCACTTCTCCAACTAAAAGAGGACTACATCTGTTGAGAATGTACTGTAAACAGTTAACCTCTCAATGTACTTCTTAGAGTAATCTCACAGGGACACGCAAAGGGAAAAATACTAATTATCCTGCGAGATAAAAAACCCTTTGCCTTCTGTATCAAAAGAGTTCTGCGATAGCTTTGTACCAGTGGATCTGTGCCCCTGGCGTGTGAGGTTTAACATCACAGCCCAGGAGCGCAGCTGAACAATAAACATCCACACAGCGTCTTTGTGTGTCCTCCATGTTGCCACAAGCATTCTCAGATACAGTGTCACCAGGAACACCTGTTTGAACAATACCCACCTGGTAAAACTGGGAGGGCTGTGGAGAGAAGGGAGCCATGTCTACAATAGAGTAGACTCCCGTTACATGTGTCTTTTCTCCCCAGAGTGGGAGTGTTGAGGTATGGATGGGTCTGACCTAGCCCCATGCTGCAGGGGAGGGAAGACAATGACAGAGAGCAGGGCTCTGAGAGAGGAGAGAGCTAGCCTACCACGGGCACAGGACATAAATCAGCCATGGTATCGGTCTGATGTTGACCAATGCTGCTACCCTGGAGGGGAGAGGTTCACACTCTCCTCAACAAATGCGACTGTATCAAACGAGCCTCCTTAGATGTTTCCAACTTTCCAGTGTTCTTTTCCCTCCAACATCTGTGTGGGTACTATACACTATCTCTTTAACAACTGGCCCAGGGTCCGTTTTGTTGTTTATCTCATGATGGTTGAGGATAGGCTAGGAGGCGAATAGGGAGAGTTTACAAACATGTTTTTCAGTTAGCTGCGAGGTGTCTGTAGAGGTGGTATGGAACAGTACTCACAGTTGGGTGAGCTTGGGGAGCTGGAAGCCTTTGACAGGGACCTGAGAGATGCGGTTCCGGCTCAGTCTCAGAACCTGCAGGGACGAGGAGAGCTGGTCCAGAGCACCAGCCTCCAGGAACTGGATCTTGTTGTTGCTCAGGTACCTGGAAGACAACATAGCACATTGTCAGGGATCCTCAATGGACAAGAATACACTGCCGATTTTGCAGGTTTTCCTACTTACAAAGCATGTAGAGGTCTGTAATTTTTATCATAGGTACACTTCAACTGTGAAAATCCAGAAAATCACATTGTATGATTTTTAAGTAATTAATTTGCATTTTATTGCATGACATAAGTATTTGATCACCTACCAACCAGTAAGAATTCCGGCTCTCACAGACCTGTTCGTTTTTCTTTAAGAAGCCCTCCTGTTCTCCACTCATTACCTGTATTAACTGTACCTGTTTGAACTCGTTACCTGTATAAAAAGACACCTGTCCACACACTCAATCAAACAGACTCCAACCTCTCCACAATGGCCAAGACCAGAGAGCTGTGTAAGGACATCAGGGATACAATTGTAGACCTGCACAAGGCTGGGATGGGCTACAGGACAATAGGCAAGCAGCTTGGTGAGAAGGCAACAACTGTTGGCGCAATTATTAGAAAATGGAAGAAGTTCAAGATGACGGTCAATCACCCTCGGTCTGGGGCTCCATGCAAGATCTCACCTTGTGAGGCATCAATGATCATGAGGAAGAACAGGGATCAGCCCAGAACTACACGGCAGGACCTGGTCAATGACCTGAAGAGAGCTGGGACCACAGTCTCAAAGAAAACCATTAGTAACACACTATGCCGTCATGGATTAAAATCCTGCAGCGCAAGCAAGGTCCCCCTGCTCAAGCCAGCGCATGTCCAGGCCCGTCTGAAGTTTGCCAATGACCATCTGGATGATCCAGAGGAGGAATGGGAGAAGGTCATGTGGTCTGATGAGACAAAAATAGAGCTTTTTGGTCTAAACTCCACTCGCCGTGTTTGGAGGAAGAAGAAGGATGAGTACAACCCCAAGAACACCATCCCAACCGTGAAGCATGGAGGTGGAAACATCATTCTTTGGGGATGCTTTTCTGCAAAGGGGACAGGACGACTGCACCGTATTGAGGGGAGGATGGATGGGGCCATGTATCGCGAGATCTTGGCCAACAACCTCCTTCCCTCAGTAAGAGCATTGAAGATGGGTCGTGGCTGGGTCTTCCAGCATGACAACGACCCGAAACACACAGCCAGGGCAACTAAGGAGTGGCTCCGTAAGAAGCATCTCAAGGTCCTGGAGTGGCCTAGCCAGTCTCTAGACCTGAACCCAATAGAAAATATTTGGAGGGAGCTGAAAGTCCGTATTGTCCAGCGACAGCCCCGAAACCTGAAGGATCTGGAGAAGGTCTGTATGGAGTGGGCCAAAATCCCTGCTGCAGTGTGTGCAAACCTGGTCAAGACCTACAGGAAACGTATGATCTCTGTAATTGCAAACAAAGGTTTCTGTACCAAATATTAAGTTCTGCTTTTCTGATGTATCAAATACTTATGTCATGCAATAAAATGCAAATGAGTTACTTAAAAATCATACAATGTGGTTTTCTTGATTTTTGTTTTAGATTCCGTCTCTCACAGTTGAAGTGTACCTATGATAAAAATTACAGACCTCTACATGCTTTGTAAGTAGGAAAACCTGCAAAATCGGCAGTGTATCAAATACTTGTTCTCCCCCCTGTATGCTGATAACGTTGGCACAGCATTTCCTATTTCCTACAGGAGAAATGTAGAGAAGGTTTGACATGAGAGCTAAGAGGATGATCTTACAGGTCTTTGATCTGGAGACCTGCAGGGAAACCTTGAACTCTGACTTCTGTGATGTCATTGTTGCTCAGGTCCAGTGTTTCCACGGAGACCAGGTCTCTCATCCGCCTCCCATCAATGGTGCGGATCTTATTGTGGTGTCTGGAAATAAAACATCATAACGAACTGTTAGGAGAAAACTATACTGAACAGAAATATAAACGCAACATGCAACAATTTCAAAGATTTTACTGAGTTACAGCTCATATAAGGAATATTCAGTCAACTGAAATCAATAAATTAGGCCCTAATCTATGTATTTCACATGACTGGGCAGGGGCACAGCCATGGGTGGGCCTGGGAGGGCATAGGCGCACAATTGGCCCAGCGTTGTCCAGGTTTGGCCGGGGTAGGCCGTCATTGTAAATAAGAATTTGTTCTTAACTGACTTGCCTAGGTAAATAAAGGTGCAATAAAAATAAAATAAAATAGGCCCACCTACTGGGGAGCCAGGCCTAGCCAATCAGAATGTTTTCCCCCCACAAAAGGGCTTTATTACAGACCAAAATACTCCTCAGAACATCTGTGGCATTGTGTTGTGTGACAAAACTGCACATTTTAGAGTGGCTTTTTATTTTCCCCAGCACAAGGTGCACCTGTGTAATGATCATGCCGTTTAATCAGCTTCTTGATATACCACACCTGTCAGGTGGATGGATTATCTTGGCAAATGAGAAATGATCACTAACAGCGATGTAAACAAATTTGTGCACAACATTTGAGAGAAATTTGTTTTTTGTGAAATTTGGAAAATTTCTAGGATCTTTCATTTCAGCTCATGAAACATGGGACCAACACTTTACATGTTGCGTTTATATTTTTGTTCAGTATATCTTCAGAGGATAAGATGTGTTCAGAACCTGAGGAGAGGAACACCAGGAGAAGAAGAACAAAGCTTATACCCTTCTCAATCAACTTCAGATGCTTGTTTTAGAAGCAGTTGTAAAGCACACACAAACCCTCCTCTTCTCCAAACCCACTCAGGAACAGAGTTCACAGAGTATCCCTGCTTCAGGGACAAACGTGTATTTTGAGAGTCTACAAAGAAACCCCGGTCCTCTCCAAATACTCCCAAGGGCACCTGCGGACTGACACCAACAGCCAAGTCATGGAACATTCTGGATTGATGAGTCCATTATTCTCTCAGAGCACTTGGATGAAGCAAAGTTTTAGCCACTTGAGAGTGTGATGAGTCAGAGGTCAACATACACTGATACTGATGCTTGGGCTCAAGTAAAGGTAATCAACAGACACCCACCCAACCAACAGACACCAACCCCAACCAGCAGACACCAACCCCAACCCTAACCAACAGACACCAACCCAACCCTAACCAACAGACACCAACCCAACCCTAACCAACAGACACAGACACCAACCCCATCCAACAGACACTAACCCCAACACTAACCAACAGACAACAACTCAACCCTGAGCAACACAGTGTCTTACTACAACAAACATAGATCCAAGCAAAGCTTCATCAGAGAAGGTCTTATTCGTGACTATGATGTTTATGGCTTGTTTATTGGTGTTAAATGTAACCGACTACTTTCAAATCAAATGGAGGAAGACTTGGCTATACGAAAGGACTTACATTTTAAGCATTGTCCAACTCTGTCCCTCCTGACAGTCCAGTTAAGCCTGCAGTAGGTGGCCTGAGAAAGAGGGCGAGTTTTTAAAAAGCTCATTTTTATTTTGGCCTGCTCTCTGCTCTGCAGGAATGGTGGGTCACAGTCTCTCTCCACATCTGTGGTTTATTTTGGTGTTGGCTGGAAGGGATGGGAAAAATCCACCTCTGAGCTGCAGAAAGACAGATGGACAGCAACAGAGCTGCACAGGAATCCCAGTCACTTCCCCCTGTGTACCTATACCCAGTACTGGCACAGGGGTAAATAACAAAAGACACACATGTGCATACAGACCCCCCCCCCCCCCCCCGCCACACACACACTAACAGAAGGACATACACACAGACGGTACACAAACACAAAACTCCCACACAGATGTATATAGGCCTATACACACATAAACATGTGAACAGACAGATACAAACACAGACAAATCCACACGGACAGAGACAGGAAACAGACACAGACTTCTTTTAGGTGTCCAAATGGTTGACTCTTCAGCCTGCCATTGTGTGTGTGTGTGTGTGTGTGTGTGTGTGTGTGTGTGTGTGTGTGTGTGTGTGTGTGTGGAGGGAGGGAGGTGGAGCCAGTGAAGGCCAGTGTTACCCGAGCAGGGATGAAAGACTGTGCTCAATGACACACCACAGTAGGGCGGGGCGATATCACCAGAATATCATATCACAATATTTTACGCAGTATGACTGTATTTGACGGTATTTTTGAATAATAAAAGTTCTAATATGCTTTATCAGTAGTGCATGACCCTAGGGTGGCAACACATACATTAAGTGTTTTTAAATGGGGCTCTCTCTATTCTGTTTTATACTGTTCAATAAAACTTCAACCAAAAGTTGGAATATAGCGGGCACTTTGAATACAGTGTTGTTTGACATGACAACAAATTTAAAAAAACAGGGAGGGGTTATTGTGACAGGGCAAGAACCAAAGTGTTGGTCAGTGTTTTCCAGTGGACCCTAATTAGTTGTTACATTAAATGCTTTCTCTTACTTGATGTAGCTAAAATATGCATGCTTACCCTATTCTTCTCTGATTTAGAATATAGCTACCGTTGCACAAGCAACATGCTGATCTAGGCCTACACCAGCACTGGTATCAGGCTGTATTAGCTAGCTAACTTTGCTCAGACTAAGTACATTTAGCTAGTTAACTAGCTGGTGATTAGCATTAGCGGCTGACACAATTGATTTTTGCCACAAATTGCTAAGAAAAGACAAACTAGCTGTTTGCAGACAGTAAGATCCACAAACTAATAGGGACATTACAGAACGCTTGTGGATTTATATTAAGCAAAGTGGAAAGCAGCATCATTTTTACCAACATCTTGTTGCATCTGCAGCATTGACCATGCAGACTGTCACTCTGCGTGAACTGCAAGTGGTTGTGACTCGTGGTAGAGCAAAAACTGCTCTCCATGAGTGACGAGGGCGGGACTTGGTGTGTGGAAGGAGAGTGGGAGAGACGACGCAAGTAGCAAACAGAGTAAACTATAAAAATGGACATTACACACAGTGTAGCAGTGTAACACATTTAACAAACATCTATATACTGTTATACAAGGTAAAGTAAAAACCCCAACCTGTACCTATATCAACACCGTTATATACTAAAATACGGTATACCGCCCAGCCCTATACCACAGCCCCGGTAGCACCTCCCTGACACTCCGGCTAGTGTTACTGACCCCCTTCTCTCACACACCACACCACACCCTCCATGTGAACTGAACCCAACAGCACGCACACACGTACTGCTGATCCCTGCCTGGAATTCCTGTCACCCCAAGAGGATCAGGGTCAGTTACATTCCAACACTAGTCTCTTCACTAACTGAAATTAACATGACACTTGACTTAAAATAACGCCATGAGTAAAACAAAGTCAACACAAGGAACCTAATTTAGAGTCGACTCCCAGACCCCGCATCAAACAGTGTTTGGTAAAATTGTACGTTGGTCCTACGGTGTCTCCAGACAGGTGTTCCACCAGTCAAACTGCATCAAAACACACACACACAACACACACACAGATGGTCAAATAAGACTCCCTGTAGGCCCTTTACTCTGGGCCATGAGGGGAGGTGGGTCCCACTGCAGCCCAGAGCCCACCTGAATAAACAGTGGTGTAAAGCGTTAAGGATGAGTCTCAGGCCCTCACTCTCCTCCCTGACCTACATGAAGCCCCTGGGAAGCCCAGAGGCAGAGAGGATTGAGGCTCTACTGAACAGGGAAGGAGGGGTGAGGAGGGAGGGGGTGGGGGGGGGGGGGGGGGGGGGGGTGAGGAAGGGTCAACAGCTGCTGACCCTTGCTGGGAAAAACTAGGCAGTCTTGGCTCAAGCAGGAGGGCGAGGCTGGCCTGGATCTCTCGGTCTCTCAGATGCTGACTGCAACGTCCAGCTCTCCCTTCCCCTCTCTTCTCCCTCTTCCTCCCAGTACAGTCCCTCATTCTTTCTCTTCTCAACCCCATCCTCCCACAGCCAGAATAGTCCAGCTGTGTAACACTCAGTGGATGGGTGAGGGGAGGGATGGGGACGGGGGCTGTGTTTATCTCATTGCCAATGCAATTTTGGGGGTTGGCTTTCCCCCTCTCTTTGATGTCTGGGGTAGATTCAACAGATCCCTTTATTCCAAATCTCATCATCCATTTAGCCAGTTGATTTCCTAGGGTCGGTTTTGACACCGCTTTTAATGTTGAGGGTGCTGATAATAAAAGCGTTTACACTACTGCCCTTTCTCCCATTTCCACAGTGATCTTTGTGGATTCTACCTCGTTTTGATGTTGGGAATGAAGACAATAGAACAGTTATTTTAAATCATTTCATCCCATTAACCATGTGATTTTCATGGAGTTGTTTTGACACCTCTTTGAAGTTGGAAAGGCGGATGCCGGACAATGGAGAAGTCTCACTCTCCCCTGGCCCATGTGATTCTATGGGGGTTTGGTGGCCTGCTGTGGCATTGTTGGAGCGTGGGAGCCCTGCTGCATTCTGGGAGAGCAGGATGCCAGGTGCATTGTGGGAGTGTGGGAGCTCCAGGCTGGGGTGGGGCCACGGTTGATCTGAATGGCTGATCTGAGAGCAGTGATTAATCCAAGCCAAAGCCCTGCGGCCACACAGATTAGCTGGTTAGGGCCACTCTGAGTGGCTTATCTGCATGATGAACTCCACAAGTTAGAGATCAAAAGAACCGCTGGGCGTGTGGGAGAGAGAACGAGTGAGATGGGGAGAGAGAGAGAGGTAGCGAGGCAAAGAGAAAACAAGAAAGTGCCTGGTCTTGTCAGGGAGAATCACCATACGCTGCTTCAGAAACACTGTTGGAGGCCAGCTGTTTGAAGGGCTGACATAATAGAGTGGAGCACAGAGGCTGGTCTCACTGTGGCCATCAGCTCTTCCTCTCCTCTCAGCCAAGAGGGAAGCCAGCGCAGGTCAGGGGATGGTGACAGACAACCCTCTGTTCTAGCACCCTTTCTCTCTCCTTCCTCTCCCTCCCTCTCTCTGCGGCTGCAGTCTCACACAGCACTGCTGTCTGACAGCATTCCTGTCGCTCTCCACCACGGGCAGAGGAATTTAGTCCGCACTTCCATCCAGCCAGGATCTGCCATGGCAAACAGACCAGAAGGTGGGGGGTTGATGGTGGGGGGCGGACAGGGAGCTGTTGAGGTGGGGTTACTCGTGGGCAAAACCTGAGCTCCATTACTTCCCCCCTCGAAATGGCCGCCTTGTGGCGGTAACAGTGATGTCATCCTGAGCCAGCCCTTATCCCATCCCCCAACACTTCCTGTCACCTTCTTACAGTAAGCCCTGTGAGTGACAGCTCCAGCTGCAGGTTCTACTCCTTTCAGCTGTGCAGCTTTGGAAAGATATGCCTCTTCCCGTCATGCACTGAGCTTCCCATAGCAACAGGCTGAGAATCAGGCCAAAAAAAGAAGCTTGTCCCGAGCAGAGTAGAGCTATGCACCGCACAGTCTCCTGAACTAGTGTTCATTTCAAACACGTAGCCTAACTGAAAACCTTGTTGAGGCTTTAGAGTGACCTAGAATCAGGCAGAATACTGTAAAAGGCTATGAAAACAACTCACAAAAAACAAAGCAGATTTTTTTTCTTCAAACTCAAACATTTCCTAATGAAGTTTCACATATCGCTGAATTAGAACTTTGTCAGAAATCTGATGGAAAGTGAGACAGTTACAGTGAGAACACTACACAGCCTATTTTGAGGGACCGATGGATGATCCATAGGGAGAGGCAGGGATGACTATTACAAACACTGAAAGTGATGCGGACTGTTACAACCACCAGAGTGAGTGCATTAAAGTGGGTGTTACAGACGTGTGATACCAACAGACAAGCAGGCTACAAACTGCCTTTAACAGTAACAGTTGTGACAGAGCCTATGGGCTTTCTCTCCTGTTACAGGTTGAGTGAGAAGATTTAATGTTCCTTAGCCACAATGAGAAGTGAACTGTTGTAGTATGGAAAACAACAAGTACTTACTTACTCTGTAGGCCAAGCAAGCAGGACAGTGTCACAATTGTGTGTCTGTTTGTTAAGGGGGCCACTAGGCTCACAGCTGTGACACACACACACAGCGGCTCTTTCCAAATAGGGCAGTAAATCTCCTGTGAGATGCCAGCGTAGGCAGTCCCTCCAGGCAGTTTCACAACTTTAACCAGGATAGAACTCCGGAGCACTTTCTTAGTGCTCCGCATAGTCAACATTACACCTCCATTCAACAGAGGCAATCATTGCATCTCTGACATACTACCGTCATAGCATAGCAATTCAAATAGAAAGTGTGTCTCACTAGTATTCTTGGTCATACCTAAACTTGCCCTCAAACAAACATTGATAATTCGGTGAGGGACAGTGTGATGCCAGCTTGACATCCCCATGGCGGTAAATGAAATGTGTACTCACAGGTAGAGGGAAGCGATCTTAGACGCAGCCGGTCCTAGATCAGGGATGGATGTCAGCTCATTATGGTCCAGGCGCCTGAGGGAAACATAGAAGCAATGATGTTACAGGACATTATGGATTGAAAGGAGAAAGTAACTGAACACTGTATTGAGATAACACTGCTGTGAATTGACTGATCAAGTTTTATTTGGAACTGAACTTGAGGACACAAGGTGTCCTCAGTGTAGTAGTCTAGTAAGGAAGTGGATCAATATGGTGCCAGAGTATCTGAAGTGCATTAGAATAATTCCTATAACAACAGAATTGTATGCGAGGAAAAACATAAATGGATAAAGCGGTGTCAGGCTAGTGTGCGCTTGGCCTCTGACAGGTGTCAGAGTGTCTGTGCCCTCCCTGCCTGGGTTGAGATAGACCCTCTTGAGCGTATCAAATATTCATAAGCCAGGGTTCGGCCTGCCTGGTGTCAGGTGATGGAGAAAGCTTAATATCCTCAATTGGACTCATTTCAAGACAATACATACAAGGATAAGATAATGTGGAGTGCATGTGACTGAGAATAAATGTCAATTAAGACTGCTATACCATATATCAGTAAGGGGCCTGACTATTATGGTGAGTGTAAGTGATTGTGTGAGATGCCGAACTACTGCAGTGTTTGTTCAGGGTACTGTCCAGTAAGGATATCATTGATGCCACCTCTAACGCTAGCATTGGGAAGCCTGCTAGGCCTATTGCTAAAAGAAAGCATTTTTTTTTGCCTAAACACACATACACTGCATAGAGACACACAGCAAGGCGTGCGCATGCCAGCACACACACACATCCACTAGGAAGTGAAGGTGAAGCACATTGTGAGGAGTTGCATTCATAGATTAGCTGTCTGCTTGCCAATCGATCCTATTCTGTTCTGAATGACAGCCATTGAAAAGGCTGAGCCCAGTCCCCACACACACAGCCAAGGGGAACTCCTGGTTGAGAGAAGATGAACAGACAGACAGAGACAGAGACAGAGAGAGAGAGAGAGAGAGAGAGAGAGAAAATCAGGTCTGAGGTACTTACAGCTCTCGTAGGTTTGGGAGGTTTGAGAAGACTTCGGCGTCAACGGCTGTCAGCTTGTTGTGGCCAAGATTTCTGTGAGGAACAAAACAAGCGAATTAGTATTGCAGACACACTCACCACCACCAGAACCTCCATTTCACATGTGTTTTTTCAACTGTGCCACCTCCCTATAACATTGTGACAACCCTGTATTCCCATTTGAGTTCTGATTCAGGGGTTCCCAATCAATAGTGAGTCTGGCTTGGTTTACACCAGGGATGGGCAACTGGCAGCCCTCTGATCAATAAAAAAAATATATAATAATAATAATAATATTTGAAACTCAGTCGGGGTCTCAACTTACTGTTACAAATTAAAATAGAATACAAGGTGCAATTTTGAAATTTGGTTGTGCATCAGCAGTTTTTGTTATGCAAGTCACTGATAGTCACTCAATTAGACCATGTCAGCTAACATGTTTTAGATTGGTAAATTAGTCTAGCGGCCAGCTATCGAATTACCAGCTGTGGGGGGGGGGGGGGGGGGGGGGGGGGGCATTGATTTTGTTAGTCAGTCTCACTCAGATTTCATATTTAAAAAACTGCAAACAATTCTTTCCACCCTATGGCATAATTTTTTTTATTTTACCTTTATTTACCTAGGAAAGTCAGTTAAGAACAAATTCTTATTTACAATGACGGCCTACACCGGCCAAACCCGGACGACGCTGGGCCAATTGTGCGCCGCCCTATGGGACTCCCAATCACGGCCGGTTGTGATACAGCCTGGAATCGAACCAGGGGGTCTGTAGTGACGCCTCAAGCACTGAGATGCAGTGCCTTAGACCACTGCGCCACTCTGGAGCCCAATATAATGTGTAGAATTGCAGGAGATTAGCTGTAAATCAGCAAATTTCTCTCAGCCCCATGACAAAATGTGTACAATTGCAGCAAACTCGCTTTAAAACTGCAACATTTTCTCTATGCCCCATTGCAAAATGTGTAAAATTAAACAAATTGAACTTTGCACGTGGGAACGCATACCCGCGAGCAACTGCGGCCCCTCATGATGACTTCAGATTTTTTGTGGCCCCCACCACCATCAAAGTTGCCCATCCAAGGTTTACACAATGTAGCCCACAGCCATCAATCTGTGTACAAGTCAATTTTCAGTTTAGAGTAAACATGCAATAAAGTAAACATGCATTAAATAGCCACCACTTCACTTGCACGGTGACTAACATTAAATAGTGATTTGTTCAGAGATATTGTGCGTAATTTGGTCAGATGCTCGATTAAGTGTGTTAGAAATTGAGATTTCCGGATTGCGAAGTCTCATAAAGGATGGTGACAGATTCTATGGTAGCCTGTCAGTTATGTTCACAAAGACCTGTCCACGACAGATTACTAGTAGCCAGACAGAGTTCATCAAACCGTAGAAAATCCTGTGAGCCAAATACACTCATAAACAAATGTCTCTCACAAACAAATGGGCGTACACACACATATGCACACACACACACACACGTTTAATCTAATACTTCTCGTCAGCAGACACTGGGGGCTGCAGTCTACTAGTGAAAGCAGTGTTTCAGTGAGGTCTGCTCTGAGACAAAAGGAGCCCAAATCCCTGGCTGCCTCCAGACATGAGAGATGGGCTAGGAATGTTTCACAAGCCTGTGGAGAAATGGTGCTTGTTCCCAGAGTCTGGGGACAGATTTACCTGACACACCACATTCCTGCTCCTTCCTCTGGTGGCAGGCAGCCTGCACAGCCTCAGCAGACCGCTCTGCTCTGAACAGGGTCTGGGTCTGGGAGAACTGCTCTTTCCTACACACTTTCACTACAGGTTACGAGGTTAAATAAACCCATCAGACTTGAGAGAAACTTGGAATTATAATAAAAAGGCCTTCTTCAATAGTCACAGATCCCATGTGTTGCACATCTGCCTCTCTTTCCAGCTTTCTGCACCCTCTTTACCTCTCTCTCTCTATTCCAACACCTTTCCTGCTCTCTAGCTCCCTCTCCCAGTGTCTGTGGAGAGAAGTCTCTCTCTCTACAGTATGCGTGTGTGAGGGGATAAATGGTAACGTGTGCCCCGCAGGCAGAGCTCTGACAGGGCGGTGTGTTATGATCATTGGCTGGTCCCTCCCGCCACCATTGTGCCACAGATTGCAAAATTGCTGTCCCTGCTACAGGAGGCAATTACCTCATTATACTGAAGCAAAGTGAAAAATCACAGGGTTTCCTCCGCCCGGCTGGGCCGGGGGGTACGAATACAGTTGAGAACACCGCCGCAGGTCAGCAAGCAACACCGACCGCAGTTATCTTCCACAGAAATCAGCGCCAGCCTTTAACAAGGCCCCGGTTGCTACAAACTGAGGATAATGAAGCTTAGGCCTTACTGGAGAGCTCCTCATTACAAAACAACCAATAAAACAACACAACTCAGAAAGTAAGGCTGCTGTCATGCCCCCGAAACAGGTTTCAGGAGAAAGAACAGGCTCAGCGCTATATTGTTTGCTGTTGTCCATTTAGAGTAGAGTGAAGAAAGGTCACATTTGAGAGCAAAACCTGCCGTACTGGTGCCAGAGGCGACAATAACAAACAAACTGTGTGTGTGTATTCCCAGTCTACTGATAGGCCAAGGGAAGGGAGTGTTTACGCAACTTCACATTTGTCTTCTCTCTTTATTGAGCTTCATTTTCTTGCCTATCTGATCTGATAAGTTTCACTGTGTTTTAACACCTACTGTATGAGCAGCCGGTGATAATGCCACTGTTTCCTTCTACTCTACGGTTACGAGTAGAGGGGGTGGGGTTACGCCCCACTGACTGGAGCTAACGCTCTCTAAAGCCTGCCATACCATATCATACCATTCTGCCTCCCAGGGGCAAAACTCAATATACTGGGCACAGCTAGGGCTGTTGCGGTGACCGTATTACCACCACACCTGCGGTTACGAGTCATGAAGGCAGTCAAATTCCACGTGACCGTTTAGTCACGGTAATTAGGCTTCTCTAAGTTCTGATGCTGCTGCTGGTCATTAGTAGCCTACCAAACTTGCTAACTGCCTGGTACTCAGCACTCTATTGTCCCTCTAATCACTCTGACATCAATGTATTCGAAAATCTAATCAAACACTTCATGAGAGCCCATGAGCGCATGTTTCGCAACATTTCTATAGACTATTTAATTGCGCGAGAAAACAGAGTGATGGCCTCTACTAAAAAGAGGAGGATCCCATCAGCTTTTCTATAGGCAAGGCCTACTATATTTATTTTTCAACTTTCCTAATATTAAGCACATTGCTTATATTTACAGCAGGAGTATAGTCTACCTGGCTGGCATGAAAATGAACCACGCGAAAAGCGTCCTCTATTCGCTATTTAAGTGCATAAACAACATGTATTTTTTCCGCTGCCCGTTTCGATACAGGTGCATGATAATGGTCCATTCTCAATCAAAATACATTTCACACATATATTATTTAGTATTTGTAAAGACAAGATTAAATCAAGAATAGTCTGATGGGTTAGCATATCACTTGTGAATTATATATTATCACTTGTGAATGATGCCCAGCATAAGAAACAAAGCCTTTTTTTGTGTGATTTTTTTCGAATCATAGTCGCACACCTCATGTAGCCTAGCCAATACGCCTATATGTTTTGATAAGGTTTGTATCACAACAAAAGTGGCCAAATAACTTCTTAAAATTAAGCACATTATTCTGCTTTACAAGGGGTGTAGAGCCTAATTGGCATACATAAGCAGCACGTGAGTGTAAAAATGCACATTTATAATAATAGCATTACATGCATAATTGCATTTGCGGTCACTTTTGATAATGGTGTTTTCAGCTAATGGAACATTCGCACTTATACAGTGGGGAGAACAAGTATTTGATACACTGCCGATTTTGCAGGTTTTCCTACTTACAAAGCATGTAAAGGTCTGTAATTTTTATCATAGGTACACTTCAACTGTGAGAGACGGAATCTAAAACATAAATCCAGAAAATCACATTGTATGATTTTTAAGTAATTAATTAGCATTTTATTGCATGACATAAGTATTTGATCACCTACCAACCAGTAAGAATTCCAGCTCTCACAGACCTGTTCGTTTTTCTTTAAGAAGCCCTCCTGTTCTCCACTCATTACCTGTATTAACTGTACCTGTTTGAACTCGTTACCTGTATAAAAGACACCTGTCCATACACTCAAACAGACTCCAACCTCTCCACAATGGCCAAGACCAGAGAGCTGTGTAAGGACATCAGGGATAAAATTGTAGACCTGCACAAGACTGGGATGGGCTACAGGACAATAGGCAAGCAGCTTGGTGAGAAGGCAACAACTGTTGGCGCAATTATTAGAAAATGGAAGAAGTTCAAGATGACAGTCAATCACCCTCGGTCTGGGGCTCCATGCAAGATCTCACCTCGTGGGGCATCAATGATCATGAGGAAGGTGAGGGATCAGCCCAGAACTACACGGCAGGACCTGGTCAGCCTACTGCCATGTGCGCATTGCTGCGCTTATAATGTGAAGAAATAGCCTAATAAGTTATCAACATTTTAAGCTAAACGTTCTGATCAGTTGCGTCAGCCATATTGCATAAAAAAGGTTTATTGATGCTAGTGGTTGTATTAATTTGGAATCTATCGCATTCCCCAACTGTCCCAGACTATGTATGGAATATTTATTTGTCGCACAGAATTGAACAAGTCGACTTTTGTACTATGGGAGACAGTAGATTGACATAGGCTAGTGCTTTTGCTGCTTGTTGGGCCTACTCATCTTGTTGGCTGACGAAAAGTAAATGTGGACAATTCTTCCAATATCTTCAATATGCACCTCGGAATTGGATAAGGACGCACGCAGTTGTGTCCCCGGTGTGTCTGTCTTCACTAGTAGCCTGTGAAAAAGACCCGACCACGTGATTTAGTGCCATGTGAGTGAGAGGTGATTCGGAGGGCTCAGCACTCAGGGAGAAGGGCACAACGGCCACTGGCTGCAAAAGGCATGGATATTTTTAGGGTGCACTATGGCCACACAAAGTGGATGCCGCCATGAAATTCTAGGCATGATCAAGTGCTTGTCAAATTGTGAATAAGTGACTGATGTAGTGTGTACAGGCTGCGCAAAAAACAAATCAGAGCTCATGCCTTTCAAGTGACTTTTTTCAAATCATCATTAGAGTCGCATCATGTAGCCTTAGAATGTATTAAACATCTAAACATATAGCCCAATGTTTGTAAAGCAACTAAAGTTACATTAATAACTCTAAATTAAGCATATAGGAATACCTATTTCTTTGTTAACCGCTCTACACAGAATAGTCTCATGTGCGCACTTCCTCAAATCGTTCCGTGAATATATCCTTTCTATTTTATTCAGCTTTGTTCAATTGTATTCTTCATACTATAAAATAATTCAATGGAATTCTATGCAAATCTTGTCTGCTAAATGAACTAGTGTAGCCCTAAGCCATTTTGCATAGCCAGATCAGGACCTAACATCAGGACAACTCAGAGTATGCTATTCTGTTCTTCTGAAATAGACTACATTTTCTTCATATCATGCTTCTTTAGACCTGTCTAAAATAAATACATGTATTCATTGTGAAGGTGTAGGCTATATTACATGGATTTATTAGACTTTTAAAAATGTAGATGTTCAAAAGGTCTGCATCAGTTGGTTGTAGGCTATGTGTGGAAGCCAGGAGATGCTAAATTTGTTTATGTTAACTAACGGTCAATTACCGTGAGACCGACAGTTATTTGCTTGACAATCACCGGCTGACAATGTTGTGACCTCCACAGCCCTAGGCACAGCGAAACAGAGTGGAAGGCTAGGGGGCATAAAAAAAGGCCTTAAGCAACTCAGCAAACAGATCTAGAGATTAAAAACTAAGCATGTGTAAGGGATGTAAAAAAGTTTTTTTATCAATTATCTCCATGGTCAATTTAACAGTCTAAAAAAAAAAAAACATTATTTTGAAAGCTAGGATAAATCTGAGTGTGGCGAATGCTATAAATGTATTCCTCTGCTGAAACTCAGGAATGGTGCATTCCATTGCATGGCACTGTTTATCTAAATGAGTGGGCTTGTTTAACATTAGTCTACCTGATCAAGACCACAGCCCTATGTACTTAGAAAGATAATTCATGCCTAGCTTTCAACAAAATACTGAAAGACTTGACCTGCTCTAGTATAATGTAGCCAAGTTCTGGCCTTAGGACTCTCAGAGGTTCTCACCCTCATCGCCACAAGTCATCCAATGACCCCGAGTTAAACATGACCCAGCTCCTGTCCACCTAAAGCATTTAACGAGTTGTGCAAACAGGATCAACTGAGGTGAAGGTGGGAGTGGAGGATGGAGAGGCCCTGAAGTTTTAAGAATAGAGTGCATTCAGAAAGTATTCAGAACCTTGACCTTTACCACATTTTGTTACGTTACAGCCTTATACTAACATGGATTACATAGTTTTTTCCCCATCATCAATCTATACACAATACCCCATAATGAAAAAGTAAAAACAGGTTTTAGAATTTTGTGCAAATGTATAAAACATTTAAAACGGAAATATTATATTTACATAAGTATTCAGACCCTTTACTCAGTACTTTGTTGAAGCACCTTTGGCAGCGATTACAGCCTCGAGTCTTCTTGGGTATGACGCTACAAGCTTCACACACCTGTATTTGGGGAGTTTCTCCCATTCTTCTCTGCAGATCCTCTCAACCTCTGTCAGGTTGGATGGGGAGCGTCGCTGCACAGCTATTTTCAGGTCTCTCCAGAGATGTTCAAATCGGGTTCAATTCCGGGCTCT